AGTAATCAGGCTAGTTACAAATATGCAGTTTTCTGGAAATTTGCTCTAATTCTCAAATGTTATTAAAGACAATACAGTTTTACATAATTTTTCATTATTTGTATAAGGCATATGCAGAAAGTAGTATGAGTTTGAATGAAAGAATTAAAATAATTAATTGAAGGGAGTCATTTTTATTTTAAAAGTATATGCTGTGGGCCATTATATAGTTGCTGATGACACTGAGGTACTTACTGAACCAGGAGTCTTTTTAGTCCAAAGGGGCAATTTGCCCTGAAAGACTATTATATTTGTTTTGGCATTTTGCATTGGTTCACTATATATGTCTGATTCACTTTTCAAATTGTTGCCACCAAATATTATCACCCAGTATTATATTTAAAGAAATTAAATAATGAAGAATCTGCATAAATGTATGTATGTTTCTCGCATTGTGATAAAACAACGGTTTCTATCCAATTTTGAATAATGTACGTTTCCACCCAAATATGGGCATCTGGAAGCCCAAATTTGGAATTTGTTTCATTATATATTTCATGTTTTGTAAAGCTTTAACGAATTTTTGCTTAACATACTCAATGATTTAAAAACGAGCAATAGTAACACTCTACGGGGAGGGTAAAAAACTTTTTATCTCCAGTGCGCGGAACTGTGTATTGGAAATTCTAAAGATGTGCTCATTTTAAAATTATTTTGCAATATTGCTGTTGAATTGAATTTTATGGTTTAAGTGCAAAGAATATGATATTTAATAAATAAAAGTAACACACAAAATGTAAAAAAAATGCTCCTTTGGACGTAATTTAAAATCTGAAATCTTTCAGATTTTTTTATTAAATATTTTTAGCTCAAAGGGACATTAACCCAAATGCTCTCAAAACAGGTATGTGTATTCAAATGAAAAAAACTCCCCTTTGAGCGTAATATAAAAGATATTTTATATGTATATACATCTAACAAATACAATATTATAATCTCATTCATATAAAGCAACCGAGGTTCGAATCCCGCGAACGGGCTGGCTGCATGGGCATTTTCGTGGTTTTCCCCATGTGTAACGTGTATATGAGCCAGTTTTCCCTAGAAAGTCCTCCACAAAGGTATCCCTCCCTGTAGGCAGATAGCCCTCGTGTGCTTTGCCGTAATTAAATAATCCATATAAAGCAAATTAAAATTTTTAAATTATGTAAATTCAATTGCAAACAAAATAATTTTTTTTATTATTATTTTTTATTTTTTTGGTCATGTATTACTAACTCTAGTTCATTAAGAAATGTGGTTACTGCTTGCTAGAACTCGTGTTTTCAGAAAAATTCTTTACTGCTTGCTGGAACTCGTGTTTTCAGAAAAATTCTTTTCAATCAGAAAAACACATTGTCTTCTTAGCTATGTAATATCACATCCATACAACACTTGATGAGGACACCCACCCTTAGTGATTACCAATTTTTTCTCAAAACTAAGGGAGTTTGTTCTTCATATGCTCTACAGCTGATTTCCAGCCAAGGCTGTCTCAGTTAGCCTCTGCCATCTTGACCCATCCAGTGTCATAGTCCTCCACCTATTAACACCAATGTTCTTTAACCACTTTTCTACATTTTCTAGCCACCTTTTTTGCGATCTTCCTCTCCTTCGCTTTCTCTCTGGCTTTTGAAATGTCAGTTTCTTCACTGGGTTTTCATCTCCATATCTGTATATGTAGCTTAGCCATCTTAATTGTGAGGCTTTAATAACTTTTATTATATTTGGTTCTCTAAATTTTTGCTGTAGTTTAAAATTATATCTTATTATCCACTAATATTGAGCCTTCATTCTTTCCCTAATGTCAGTGTCATCAGCAAAGACCAACAATTGCACAGATTTTATGAATATAGTATTTTGTGTTTGTATGCCTAAAACTTATTGATATTAAGCAGCTGGTAGGAACCTATGGGAGTTTGGAGGTGGAAAATATCTTGCTGATAATGAAAAATTCTAGCAAAGTAAGATTTTTCGATGGATTGGGTTTTGTAAAATTCAGTTCTCAGTAGACTAATGTTAGAAAGGTATGATAGGGGCATGCAAAAAAAAACAAAAGCTTCTAATGCAGTAAGTGCTTTAATTCATAGGGACTATATGGAGTAACAGCTCAAAGTATGTATTTTTAAAATTAAAAGATTTTGTTTAAGTAACTTTTTATTGATGTAATTAAATGATGCCGATAAGAATTCAGTATTCAACTCCCCTCCCCTCCCTTCCCCTTTTCTGGAGACAGATAGCCCATAATTACCTTATTTTTCTTTTAAAAATTGGAAAATTTATGATTTCAAAACTAGTGCATAAACGTGATTTTTATGAAGAAAAGGTTTAATGAATATCTCAAGAGCACACATTCATATATATTTTAGTAGCAGAAATTTTTTAAAGTCACCTGCATCATACAGTCTCTGTTACCAATACCTAAGTGTAACCTATTTATGAATGACAAAAGAGATTTCTGTTATATATCTGTTGGCACTAATTATATACATCATTAAGTAGCAATGCCACTTATGGGGAAGCAGTGTTTGGTAATGCATTTTAGTTAACTGTGGCATTGATTTGGTTTAAATTAGCTATGGCAAAGCACTTGAGAACTATCTGCCTAAGGGGAGAGATGTCTTCGTGAAGTACTTTCTAAGAAAGACTAGCTCATATATGCGTTACACATGGGGAAAACCACGAAAATGCCCATGCAACCCTGACCCATTTACAATCCCTGACCCCCCATTTACAATCCCTGACTGAACTATCAGTGTTCAGAGCCTCCGGTGGGCCTCAACTGTAGTATTGAACTCGTAGTATATTTATTAGTAATCTGTAAATATAATAAAACCATTACTAGCAATATGAATAACGTAAATTAAAAATCAGGTATTATATTCATTTAGGAGCAATATTGAGTTGACTAATGGGCTTTCAAAGGCAGAATAACTAATTGTCTGAAGGCAGAGAGAGCCCTTAGCATACCAGAGTGTTTTGTAAATTATTGCTGGTCAGAAAAGAATAATTTTCAAAATTATGAGAATTCATCTAGCTGAGAGTTTCAGAATGTTCTATCCTTTGATTTGCTGTGGTTGAAGAGAATATCAGAGAAGTTCTAGAGTCAGGATGTTGATAATCTGAAATCGAATGACTTTAGAGACAGAAACATTGTAGACTGCTCAAATTTTCTGACGCTAGTTGTGAAGTTTAATGTCAAGTAGAACATTATTATAGAAGTTACTACTTCTGTAATGTCAAAGTATGCCATCCCACATACCTTACTGCCTTAACTGTTTGCCATTGACCTTTAAACTGAATCTTGCAGGACAAGCATTCATGAATATTCTAAATGTTAACCCTTTGCGGCACGGTGTGCCCGGTCTGAGCACACCTAAAAATTTCCTTCTGTATGCACAGAAAAATTGAGTGAAAAAGGATTTAAAGGTTACTATAGGTTGCTCTGAACCTTCTTTATTTATAGTAGATGGTAGCTCAACACAAACCAGTCCATATATTTTAGCCATGTTTAGTTTTTTAAGACCCTCATTTTTCAAAGAAATCTTCCAGATTTTTTTAGGGAATAAAAGGAATTGTTTGAAAAGAAATTTCTATGTTTTTTTGGCTGTATACTAATCTTCTTATTCTATATGAGTTTTAAATTTTTATCTTGAAATCATGCCTAAAATCGAACGGCAAACCCGAGGTGTGCCCAAACCAGGCACACCAAGACTGTAGGACAACTGAGAGACTGTATTCTTTGTTTCTCCGCATGTCATCGGTCAGTTCATTGACATTAGAAAGGTGGGTCCACATCTGTGTGTCATTTTCTTCTTTTCTCTCTCTTTTTTTTTGGGGGGGGGGAGGAGGACGTTCGGTTATTAACTAACAAATTGTTGGGGTGATTTTCTGAAGTATAATTTTATCAGTTAGCTGATTGGTTTTTCACTCGAACAATTCTCTTTTTCTCTTTCGCTCTCGTTCAAAGTTTCGCTAGCACTACGTTTAGTAGTTTTGAGTTGTAGACGTTTATTTAATTTTATTTTACAGTTTATAATTTCTAATTGTAGATATAATATTAGTTTATTTTTTCAGATTTTTAATTATTTTCCAAATGGATCGGAGAGGGCTGATCATTTCTGAAGCACTGAAAGTGCTAACATGAATTGCTTTAGGTAGTGAATCTGATACGGGTCCCAGTATATGTGAAAACATACAATATTGGGTTGTGCTTTTTCAAAGGTGGTGTCACTTTATTTGAAAAGAACCACCGTGAAAAAATGGATTAAAGTGTAAATATGAAATGTAAATAATGTAGATATTTTCCATTCATACGCATGTTATCATCATATAACCAAAAAAGAGCCTTTTAGGGGGTGTAGAGTAGTAGGTCTCTCCGTGGCACACCCTAGGTAATGCTAAATCTGCTACGGTATTCAGAATCTAGTGTTTTTTCAATTGTAGGCAAAATCTCTTACTCGTTTACCACGCTTCCCAGCAGTGCTCTTTTCGAAGCTCTATTCAATCAATGTGCCCGCTTCGGGCACACTCAATTAAAACAATAAGTAGTGATCTTCACAAAATTTTACTTGTGTACTCCTTTAGGCCTAATTAGACGGCCTACCTTTTTTTTTTTTAAATCGAAATTCCAACTTTAAAAGGTAGCATGCCGGAAAGGGTTAATGTAATACTTTATTCAGATATTTATCTTATTTCATAATTAATCTGTAATTTTTAATTTCAAAAAGTGAAAGTTTGTTTTCAAATTTACCAAGTATTTTAAATAAGTTTTTAATATTTCTTTGTTGAAATATTAACATAGTTGTGTAAAATATTCAATAGTCTGGGAAACAGAAAATATGAAATTTGAGCATATTATTCTAATATGAAAATATGTTCTGCAAATTCTTTGATTTAGATTTTTACAGTATATGAATAGTTTAAAATTCATAATTGTGATAGCAATGTCATTAAGAAAATATATTCTTTTCCCTTTCTAGTGAAAACGTCAAGAACTGTATTGAAACCAAGCCCGTCTCGATTACAAAATATCACAAAAACTGTTAATCTCACTCGGATCAATAGTATTCTTGAAACAAATAAACAGGAAAATCCATCACAAATTGGTGTGACCAAAACTGGTTCAAAGTCAGAGGGAATTTTTGGTAATTAATATATTTCTAATTTTATATATGTTTATGTATATTTATATATAATAATTTTTTTTTTCAGTTCATTTATAAATAGTTTAAAAAAGCATAAACTTTTATCAGAATACTAAATCTGATTATGAACTATTTTGTCTTTTGGTATTATTTAACAAAAAAAGAAAAACGTAATTAGCTTAACACAAAGCAGCAATGTTTTGAAGCAGCATAATCAAAGCCAAAATTTGTTTAAACACAAAAGCCTTATTAGCATTAGCAACCTAAGACTTTTTTTCAGCATAATGTCCAGCATTTGGTAAAATGTAATAAAATTTCTGATTTTGAATAAATCATTTTTAAAAGGAGGTCATGCTTTTCTAGTAAATTTTATTTTGCTAGTTTATTGTGGAAAAAGAATTTTTTTTTTTTTTTTTTTTTTTTTTTTTTTTACTCAATGCACTGTATTTGTAGCCCATCGCCACCAAGGATAAATTGTTTCTGTGCACTAGAAACCCACTTGGAAGAAAATTAGCTTTTATTTATTTATTTGTATTTATTAATATCAAGACTTGTATGTATCATTTTGGCAGGTTTAAAAAATGGGAGCAGAAAGGAACCACTTGTCCTTTGTCCCAGCGATAAGCCACATAGGTGATGAATATTCATTGAAGAAATATTCATTGATGGCTCTGAAATGTACTTATTTGTTGTAAACTTTGAGTATTAGTTAAATTTTCCAAGATCTAGTGCACTAGATTCTTGTATTCTTGTTCAAGAATACCTAAGGGGATAGACTGGCAGGGAAATGCTTGAATCCTTTTTTACTTCCCTGTACGAAGTAAAGGAAGTACTGCAATCGTGAAAAATCGTGAAGGTGTCATGTTTCACCAAAAATATCCATTTTGACCACGCTCAAATCCATTTGAGCGATGTTTTTGTGTGACATCTGTACATATCGACAGAATAAAGAAATACAGAAAAAGTTGAAATTTTGTATATGGTACTGATATAAAATGTAGTTGTGCACCTCCCTTTTGGTTGCAACTGGCCACACCAAACATACATAAATATATATATGTGATAAAAACAAAGTCAGAAGTAATGACCAGGTGGAATTTTGAAGGCGTAGAGGTGTTGATCCATAATGAATAAGAAATTGGATGCAAAGGCAGATTAAATCTTCACTTTTATTTGAACAAACATGTCGTGGCCATAATCTATTCCAAAAAGCGTACATTTTAGATAAATTTGCAGTAAGATAGCAGGTGCAGACAGAAGTCCAGCTAGGCCAAAGCATAGGAAGCAAGTGCGTTATGTTTGGGGTGAAATCTTAATTCAGACTAAGTTAGTTTCGGTTCTCAATGGATTTTGATTGGATAGTTAATATTGCTGTAAAATTACTATTGGCTTCTTGAGTATTAGTTGCATTTACATCATCAGAATTATGTAAAAATCATATGACATAGATTTTTCTTGAAATAATGCAGTGCAGAGAGAGATTACTATTTTTAGAATAGAGAAGGGAAATTAATCTTTTACATATTCTTTACTTTTCTTACATATGTATATCCACTCTGTTACCTGGCTCGGCGAGCTCATTTTTTTATTCTTATATGTTGTAATATACAAGAATAAAAAAAAACTTTTTTACTTTAAAAGTGATGAATTAGGTTGTTTTTATGCCTTTAGTTAATCTGCATGCAATAGTTAGAGAATTATCAACAATTTAAAACTTTTTTAGTTCTTATGACCCGACTTTTGCATGATTGAAATTTAACTGTGAAAAGTAATTTAATTTAATGTTGACATACTAAAAGAAGTGTAATGTGAGTTTAAAGTTTTTAACTTTTTCCATTTCCTGAAAATCTCCTGGGACTATTTGTCTCAGTCGTCTAGGATATTGCGATAACCTTACACCGCATGTGAATAAATAATAAAGTTAAATGAAATGTACCGAATATTTTATTCTTACAGTACAAGTTAAGTTTGATATGGTGTAAAGCAGTCTTTACGAAGTGCAACCTGACACATTTGGCAAATAGGATATTTGTTCCCACTTCCTTAGAAACACTGCAAACTTAAAAACTCATTTAAAAGTGGATTTCATTTACCCAATGGGGAATGAAATCTAATCTCTGGGACGTATGTGCCCATTAGGAGCGAAAGGGTTAAATGGTACTAAGCCAAATGAAGCCGCCATTTGTTTACATTTGAAACTCTAAGTAGAAAGTCAGTTTGTGCACCGACTTCAGTCTTTTTTGCTGAGTAGGACCAAAAGTAAGCTTTCAATTTTGTGCACCAATCTGCCTTGTGTGCTGTCCAAATTGCTCCCTATTTGGGGGGGGGGAGGTCTGTAGAATCTCTAATTTTAATTGGAAAAATTGTTTTTAACTATTTTTGGTGTTTTATGCTTTTTTGTATTTTAGAATAGAAAGGCCTGCATAGAAAATCAAATTTTAATTGTTTTATTTATTTATTTTATGCGTGTATTTTACGATTTTTAATGAAGATGTTTTTTAGTTTCTATGTATTTTTGCCTCGCCGTTCTATTTTTATGGAGAACTATATAACCGCCGTATTTTTGCCTCGCCGTTCTATTTTTATGGAGAACTGAATTAATTGAATGAGAAATATATCTCTAATAAAATTCTAGGAAATAAGTTAAATGAAATGCAGCAAAAAGTATGTATAATTTAATGGGTTTTATAAGGAAATCATATGGTCTAAGTGTTTAGTTAATACAGTACAAAGTCCGAGATCCCTACTCATTAGGACTTTGCTGATTCCGGATTTTTCCAAATATTAGATCATCAGTTTAAATCCAGTAAGATGGCATGTAGAAATTAAAAATATGAAATCATTATTTATGAAATAATGAAGCATTTATGATCTAAAAGGTATCAAAATTTACAAAAAAAAAAAAAAAATCTTAGTATTTATTTTTTACGTTATTAAGCATTTCTTTCAATGTAAGCTGTTTTAAGTTTCTTCATTTTTTTGTACTAATACTTTCACTTTAATTCTATAGACAGACATAATTCCTTGTTCAGTTACAAAGTTCCATTGTTAAAATCCTGTAATAGCTGTGTCGCGTATTCTGACTAACTTGTCAATCGAGTTTTTTTGTTTTCAATAACCTGTGTGTCACTTTCTTCAGTATTGGTAGCAGTATTTTCTGGTTCTAAACCATACTACAGATTTCGTCGTCCGTTGATTGATAGTTGGGGCATTATCATCATAATGAGAAACTTCTGTTACATCATCTTTATTTATTCCCGCTTCTCCACATTTCTTTACAAAATCAAGTAATTGGAAAATTTTCCCTTTGGTTCGCTATATCTTAAAACCCTCAAATTCAAGGCTATTATCCTCACCATAAAATATGGTAGATGGCCATAAATTATGCCAAGCATTTTTTAAAATACCTGGAGACACATCCCTCCACGATCTTGAAATGCTCCACACAGCAGATTTTATGCTAAAATATTTCAAAAAATTTTTAATAGGCTTGCCATTATTCAAGAAATTTAACATGGATTTTTAAAAATACTACTTTATATTAGCCAAGCGCGCACATTATTCTGATATCCACAGGCTGAATGATGGACGTGCAATTTGAAGAAAAGAATAATGCAAATGCATTATCTTTCACTAAAACTTCAGGTGAAGTATGAACTGAATAGTTGTCTACAATCAGGACAATTTTTTGCACCATTAGGTAAACCAACCGAATTCAAATGTTCCCGAGCCTCGGGTATGAAACGAGTTTCAAACCAACCATCCATTTATGCTTGTGCCATCCAGGCTCTTTTATTTGCATGACATATAACGGGAAACATCTTTACTCCTTTAAATTCTGTGTCATTTGTTTTTTCCGATTACAAAACGTTTACACTTGTGCGTTCCTGCAGCATTTGTGCATTCTAAAATTGTTAGTCTTGCTTTGGAATCTTTGATACCTGTTTGAGCCTTTTCTATAGATATTTCATGGTACATATTCCAGAAAAGATCAGTTTCATCAGCATTGTAAATTTGTTATGGAGATAACTTTCACTGTTAATGAGTTCAATGAATCCATCTGCAAATAGTTCATCAACTTCAGTATTAGCTGAAGGTTTTTCATCTGAAATTTTTAATTGCCTTCTACCATGGCGATTTTTAACTAATCTGTCAAATATGTGCACTCAGTTTTTAAGTTCATTTCTTCATGGAATATTTTGGCTTGAACCATTAGCATTGGACCTATCAATGGCATGCCTCGTTGCGTTGCTGTCTGACCCATTGAATCATCATTTTTAGCATAATGAATAATATTTCTGTTCTTCATTGCGAGTGGGGTGTCAGAATCCTCAAAAAGTTCCTTTTTCTATGTCGTACACGGTTTACTTACCATTGCCATACTTGTTTGACTTTAACAGCACTTCTGTTTATTACAAAATATTTTTTCCATCAGGCTTCGTTTCCTGAACAGGATAGCCTTTCGGCTGAAACTCGCTTATTATAGTATTTACTTCTCAAATGCCATTTTTTATGGATATGTGCATAGTGTTTCCCACATTCACAATTACATTTTGTGTAACTAATTTTCGATTTACAAATTTTACAGATACCATCATGATTAATTTCACCATAGTTACAATGCTTGTAAAAAATCATCTATTGGTTTTACAATTTAACGTGTGCATTATTCTCATCACCTCCATTTATTAGGAAATGTTTTTTAATATCTTTGCCTTAGCTGTTATTAGAAAATGTTTCTAGCAGTCTGCCTTTGTTTGTTGATTGGAGTGATGTTTCTAAAAACAGTCTTTTAAAGGAAAATTTAATTAGAAATTTGTACAAGGAAGTCATGTGGTGTCCATACCAGATTTTTTTTTAAGTCACTATTCTGCTGTGGATCAGAAGGTTTTAAATGACATTATTTTGTTATTTTGTGCAGAGATACTACAGTTATAAGTTATAAATATTTGTGCTTTATTTGGGATTCAAACTCAAGTCATACTTCAGGATATGCCTTAACCTGCTCCTTGTAATTTCTTGGGCGAGAAGTGTCTGGGATATTTTTAAAATTCATCCATTGTTCATGTTTCAGACTTGTCTGACAGTCCTGTTAAACTAAGCTGTATGAATGCATTCACTGTATTCCAAATTTTCTTAATTGCTTGTAAGTAATAATCTCAAAGTAATAATTTTAAAATAATTCCTAGGTGTAATATTAATTCCTAATTCCTTTGTTAAGTTTTTCTAAGATTTAAATAGTTGATACATAAAATAAAATAGATGTATGTTCATATGCTAGTAGAATAGTCATTAGTTTTGTAATCAGAATATATAAATGTGAATTTTGTTATTTTGTAAAGTTAATAGAGAAGTAAGTATTAATTTTTAAACTAGAAAATATCTTACACACTTACACCTATGTGAGGCATGCCCCATTTTTATTATCATTGATTAAAATTTCTTTTTTTTTAATAGGTCGGAATATTAACCTGGTTCGAAAAGCAAATGTTAAAAGTCGATTGGGCATGAAAACAAACATTCAGAGTTTAGGCCAGACAAAAATATCATTAAAACCAAAGACCAGAATAGCAGTGAAAACATCAAGTGTGTTTGAAAGGTTAGGCAGGTAAGATGTCTTTTTTATCTGTTGTATAAATAATTGTTTATTTGTGATGAGACCATGCAGTTCTAATAGCCATCAATTCCAGTTCCTTAAGAGCACCAAATCAACTCCAGTTTGTTGCTCCTAATAATAAATTGTGCTGTATAAAAATAGAGATAATTAAAGGGACAGTTACTTAGCATGGAAATTGTTAGTTGTTAGAAAATTAATTTGAGGAATTAAATGTAAGAATTCATCTTGAATTTTATTGGGTTTTAAATGTCTTAAATATTAAAACAAGTGAAACATAATAAATGCTGCTGAGATTTAGGTCAGGTCTAATAATTTCTAGATATCCAAATTCATCTGTACACCGATAACTTCCATATGATTTTTCAGAATAAAATTATTAATTCTCTTTAACTGTCTACGCACAGCTCCCACAATTTGAGCAGAATTATCAAGTTGGTTCAATGTTACGGTTCATGTGAAAATTGCAGCTGAGGAATTTTTCCCCTTTGATTTCAGTATGAATCCCACTGTTTATCTGTACAGAATGAAATTGTTTTAGATTCATTATTTCAATGATAGGTGCCTCTAACAGGTCCACTTCATTTAAGAGAATTTGTTTAAAAGTTCTGAATTTTTCATCGAAACGTTTCAGTGATGCTTTGTATTCGTGTTGTAAAGAGGCATTTTGCAAGCCATATATTACCAAATCCTATAAAAAAGAAGTTTCGAAGATAGTGTGCTGCTTCAAAAAAGGGGGGAACAGAAAGTACGTAGGGAGACTTGTATTTGATGTGAAGACTTTCAGGTTTGATTATAATGGGGGGCCATGCTTCGCACTTTCAAAAAACCTTTGCATAATAATAAAATTATGTGAGTAAAAATAACAATGCTAGCTTTTTTTTCAAAGGTCAAATGTGAATAATTTATAATATTTGTAAATAACTAAAACCTTTGTCATTTTAAATGTTCTTCATTTTTGGTATGTATGCAATTTTAATATAAAGCAAGATTGATTTTTCTTTTCTACAGATTTTATATTTTCTGTTTTATTGTGAAATTTTTATAAAAATTTCTGCACCAAATTGGTTAAACCAAATTGGTTAATTCATCTAAAATTAAGAATATCATGTGCAATTTTTAACTTGCAAATTATGCTTGCTAAAATTGCATGTGCCGTATTAATTTGAAACTAAAATAAGCAATTAAAATTCTTATATTTAAAAACTGTTGTTAAAGATGTGAATAGTAATAAATGTAGATGGAGGGGAAAAAAAAAAAAAAAAAAAAACTTTTATTTCAGAATTGGAACGGAAAAAAAAAAAAAAAAACAAGCCACACATGGAGGATTAATACAATGAATGCTATAATTTTTCTTAAATAATTAATGAAGGCTAGTTGTATGGAATTTTTTCCTCCAATCTGAATATAAGCTCCCAACCATCCCAGTTTTTAATTTTTGCATTTGACTATGCAAAATTTATTCCCCCATCCTTAGGAATTTTAGCTTAATTTTTCTGTTTCATTTGATATAAATTGTCTTAAACTACTGCAGACATCTGTAGAAGGGCATATTTTTTCTATTGAATTTCATTTGATCCGAATTTTCTTAAACTACTGCAGACATTTGTAGAACTTTTTTTGAAGATTTGACCAATGTTTAATCAGTTAATATTTGTATTTCATTTTGTTTTACTTTAGTACATGTGCATTCCTAATTTTATCCCCACAATAGATGTACATAATTATTATTTTCATCTTATTTAAAAATGGTAAAGAAAATTGCAAAATGAAATTAGCCTAAAAATATAAAATTTAAAATATTCAATTATATATTAATAAACAATCATTTAATAAATAGCACCATAACTTGAATCCTGTATTTTAATCCTCCAAAGATTATGGATTGAAAAATTCCATATTGAAGGCTTTCCCATTCGCTACACATGGAAAATTTCTGCCAGATCCTGATCAATACACTTTCGGGTTAGATGTACAGGGTGATTAAAAGTTGAGGAACAAATGTCTAGGAGGGGTAGGATACACCTAGACAACTTGGAGTCGCATAGCAATACAGAGTCTTGAGATTCCATGCCATACGCCACATTATGAAATAATTGGGGACTTTCAAGTTAGGACTTATTTTTATGATCTTTTTTAAATGTCAATTTGCAATCACATTAAATTAAAATAATTTTTTCACTACTACCTCTGATCAGCTGGAGGATAAACAAAGATGCAGGAATAACAATAATAGCCAATAATGGATAGAAAAACTTTATTTAGTGATAATTTTCAGTACATGTACATTTTCAGTTTCACAATAACTGCTCAAAGTTCCAACCATTCATCTTTACATAGGCTTCACATTGGCGCTACTTGTACTGTTGAACCCTTCCAAAAATACCCAGAATGCTGCCATTGTGACGAAGTCGGTTTTACAGTCAATGGTCTCATAGACAGTGGCTTTCTGGGTCCCCCACAAGAAGAAATCCAGGCTAGATAAATTGGTGGATCACTGTGCCCATGGCATGGGTCCTCCATGTCCTATCCACTGGTGTACAAACATTTTGTTCAAGTAATCTTGCACTACACATGCAAAATGAACTGAAGCCCCATTGCCTGGTACCACACTGCATGCCAAACAGATGTAGAAACATTCTTGAGTAATTGTGGCAGTACATCCTCCAGAAAAATGCAATATTTTCAACCATCCAACAGGGTTCATAACAGATATTGCTGGATTAAGTAATCACCAGTAATGCCCGCCTATACAATCATATACCATCATTGGGCACCATGTGGTTGCATACTTTGTAGGTTTTAGTGGCTTCACTCATGAACATCGTGTTGACTGAAGATCCCTTTATGACAGAAAATGACTTCATCCATGAAAAGAATACAAAATGAAAATACTGGATTCTTGTTACATTTGTCCACATACCAGTGTACATATCCCACTCATCAAGTTCTCAAGTTGCTGCAAATGGTTGATGGACCCACTGCAAATGATATGAATATAAATGCTTCCTGACTAATGTGCACCATACACTGTCTTGAGATGCTGCAATATTACAAGCACTGGTTCATGTATGTGTAACAAGAACTTAACTCGATGCAGTATCTCATCTTCTAAGGCAGGTGTTGTGTATCATTCTTGGCTGCCTTGTATTATGCTTGCTTTTTTGCCGAATGTTCCGTATTTATACAGGTTTATCGTGCAAATTTTCAAACATTTGGTAACTGTGCACGTCTGTTTGGGTACCATCCAGCATATAACCATGCCGCAACCCTTCTATTGCAGTGAACTTCACCACACACAATGTGCACTTCCATGTTCTTCATATGCAGTTGAAACATAAAAATCACCAACACTGCATTCTAACTTGCAGCACTCTCAGACATGCAAAACTGTAGATGGTAAGAAGGAGGCACATAGCCAGGAAACTTGGAGCAACTTAATTATCAGGAAGATAATGTCTTATTTTAAGCTCGTGGTCTTTAAATGTTAATTTCTGATCACAGTGTATTCATATTTTTCATCTTAATACTTCTGTGAGTGACTGTTACAGCCCCTAATATCCCCACCTCATTAGGATTGCATTTCTAACCCTGCATTGCTATGGTTTCCTAGTCATCTAGGTGTATCCTACTGTTCCTAGAAGTCTGTTCCTTATTTTTGAATCAGCCTGTGTATCCAGAAGATAAAAATCAAGGTATAAAGCGAGAAGATCATTTTGAAGTTATAATCAAGAAAATACCACTTATTCATGGCATTTTAGGAAACCTTGAAATTTTAAGGCTTAAGTCAGAATGCTGATAGTTAAAGTAAATTAAGTCAGTGAGGGCATTTTTGAAATGGTGTCACTGCACAGCATGGAAACCTCCATGAACTCTCAGTTTTTCATATTTTCAAGGCTGGAAGCTATGGAATATGAATACAAACCAAGTTTCCTCAAACTCACTGTGAATATAAGCTGTCATGATTATACAAAGCACATGAAACTAATTCACCAGCCTAGTCAATTTCATCCATTAGAGTAATAAGTTAAGAATTCCTTGCTGACATTTTACCAAATATGAGAATTACTAAAAAAGGCATTTATATTAAAGAATTCTAGCATATACAGTTGTATGCTAGAGGTATTATATTTTTCTCCAAAAGAAATTGCCAGACTTTTATTTGTACTGAAACAGATGCAAAAGTTTTAAAAAATGTGTATGACTAAGTATTTTTTGAAAAGTTATTTATAGACTTTTAGTCCAAGTAATTATAAGATTCCTAGAATTAAATAACATAGGCTTTCAGACTGAATACAGAAAAAATATATGACTTAAATATTGATAGAAATTTCATAAGAGAAAAATGTATCAGTCAGAAAAATGCATAGTTGATTGAGTACTCCTACATTAATGCATCCTTATATGATCAAAATTACCCCAAATATCTTAAATTTTGTGGAATCGTACAAAATATTTCTGAAGACAGTTATACATATTAAGTTTTCAAATGCAAATTTCTAAAAGAAATTTTTTTTATACCAGAAAAGAAGCAAGCAAAAATTTCAGATATTCATTGAATCAAAGTTGAAATTCAGAATTTTATATCAAACAATACTGAAATTTCCTTACAATTTTTTCTGAAAATTAAAAACCTTTTGTTTCATTAGGTAAAAACAGCTAGTAGTTTTATAATTTTAACTGTAACTGGTTAAAAAAATGTAGGTGATTGGTATTACCAAATTGTTGATATTATGCACAAATGTTGCTACACTTGGAAGATACTTATGAAGGGTTATTAAGAGATCCATGCATGGATAATACTAAATTACTGCCAAAAATGTATACATAAGCATGCATCAGGAACTTCTAGGAATGGTAGCCATTCTCAGCCTATTTATTCCAGGGATCTTGCCTCATCTGACTTCCAAATGTTATTTAACCCTCCAGGCGGCAAGGCCGTATATATGCATTCGAAAATAATGGCTCTCATAGCGGCAAGGCAGCATATATGCGTCCAAAAATTTTGGTCCTCATGGTGGCAAGGCAGCATATATACGTAAACTTAAATTTTGGCACGAAACGGCAAAGCAGCATATATACGGCCTGTCTCAGAGTACCCTCCCCTCTCTGCTCTTAATGTAAACTGACAGGTGATAATTTTCTCTGCGGGAGGTAATTGAGGAGAGGAAACTATCTATTCGCTAGGAGCAAATGGGTTTTATCGTTAGGTTTTGAATAACAACTCGGAAATAAATAGCTCGTTCAAAATTCCAGCTGTTCTGTGCTTATACTAGCTATAGTAAACTTAAATGTTTATGTTCGTAAAGAGAATTTTCATTTTCCAGCCTAATATTCTCCAAATTTTTAGATGCAGTTTGGCAAAATGTAATTGGAATTTAAAATTCAAATTGCAAGAAACTGCAACAATATTTTGAAATATGTGATTTCAATTAATTGGCAATTGTAATTAGCTTCGCCAATTACTTGCAATTACATTAAAAGTAAGTACTTTTAAATGCAACAAAAATGTAATTGCATTTTAATTTTCAAGTCTTACAATTACAGGCCTACCAGCGGACGAGCGGTAAAGTCGCTGAACACTGGTAGTTCGGCCCGAGGTTCAAATCTCGTGAACGGGCTGGCTGCATGGGTATTTTCATGGTTTTCCCCATGTGAAATGTGTATACGAGCCAGTTTCCCTTAGAAAGTCCTCCACGAAGGCATCCCTCCCCTTAGGCAGATAGCCCTAGTGTTCTTTGCCATAATTAAATACACCAAACCTTACAATTACAATGCAATGATAATCACAAACATTATAATTATATAATCTAATTACAATTACAAATTTTATTGCATCTAATCACAACTACTGTAATATTAGCTAATTACAACGTAATTTTAACTGCAATTGCAGTAGGTAATTATAACTACGTAATTAGGAAAGTAATTGTCTCTGATAATTAGAATTACTCAACCTAGTGAAATTATGATCATAATTGTAATTCTAAGTGTAGTTTGCAATTGTAATAAAATTATGCAATTTCTAAGTAGTTATAGTTAAAAAGTGCTGTTTTTTTATTAGAATTACAATTTACGTAATTTCATTTAAATACAATTACTCTATATTTGTGAAATCCAATTTCATATTCAATGCAACTGCAATCATATAATCTAATCACAATTACACTGTCATTGTAACTCCAGTAAGTAATTATAATAAGTAATTAGGATAGCAATTGTTTCTGATAAAAGCAGTTACGTAGCCCAGGAAAATCATGATCTTATTGCAAATGTAATTGTAGAATGCAATTGAAAACAGTAATTGGAATAATATATGCAATTATCTGTAATTACAATGTAACAATTTTTAACTACATATACAATTTACGCAAATGCATTTTAATTGTGAAATCTAATTGAATAAACAGTATAACTGTAATTATATAATCTAATAAAAATTACAATGCAGTTGTAATGACCTCTTAATTATAATTGCGCAGCAGATGATTGTAACTATTTAATCAGAAAAACAACTGCCCCTTATAATTTCAGTGACATAGGCTAAGGAAATCGTGAATATATTTGAAAATTACAGTCAATAGTATTATATCGAAATGTTTCTGCATTTTGGATAATGAGTTTTTTAAATAATACAACGGATAATGACCTATAAGAAAAATATTAATATTTCTGTCATGTCTTCTGAATCACTTACATATATTGTAGTTTCTGGTACCAGCATAAATTGGTTTTATGTAAGGAAATATTTATATAGACCGAAATGCACATAACAGTAAGCAAATATGTATGTTTATGATCTTCGTATACATGTGAACTTAAATTACAAGATTAAGGAAAAGCAGCAAAGAGTTATGCAGTGCCAAAGGGATGTTTTCGCAAAGGATTTGTTACGGGACGCTTGTCTTGTTTAATTACACAGAAAATAAATCATAAAAATTACATTTATCCTTTTCTTTTCAAAAGGAGATCATCAAGGACTAAACTAAGTCATAATTTTATCCAACCTATTCTTTAGCTGGTAAAAAAGGATTCTGATCAGCAATCAGTATGCTAATTGCTGGTGTGGTTGGACATTTACTAAATCCATTTATTATGAATTCCGCCCAGACAGTAAAGCGGTTCGTGACTCTGGTTGCCGTACCGAAGAGCCTGGGTTCGAATCTCGGATAGGGCATGAATGTAATTTGTTCGTCCTCTTCATAGGAGACAACGGTGGCCCAATTATTAGTTGCCTCCTTAATAATATGACCGGCCTCAGTAGTGATCAATGTCTATAAATGGCTAGTACCTGCCATTGGAAAAAAAAATATTACCAACTGGTCTTTTATTCAACATAACTCACTTTTTCCATAAATAGTTAAAATGCATTATTCAATTATAAGTACTTGCATGAACTATTTTCCACCATTGTTTCACGTGAGAACAAATAAAAGCATAATTTTCTTATGCACCTGTGATTGTTATATTATTTGTACTGCGGTA